TGATAATGATAATGATAATGATAATGATGATGATGATGATGATGATGATGATGATGATGTTGATGATGATGATAATAATAATAATAATAATAGTCTTCTTAATAATTACATTTATATTACTATTATTATATTAAAATATTATAACTATTATTAATATCTTATTTTTGTTATCATATTATTATTAATATTATTAATAATAATTATATAATAATAATCATAATTGTAATAACAATAATAATAATAATAATAATAATTAATATAATAATAAAAGTGATAAATCATGTTTGAACTTTTCTGATCTGATCTGAATGTTTCTGATCTGGTCTGATCTGATCTGAATCTTTCTGATCTGATCTGAATATTTCTGATCTGATCTGATCTGATTTGAATCTTTCTGATCTGATCTGATCTGATCTGAATTTTTCTGATCTGATCTGATCTGATCTGATCTGAATTTTTCTGATCTGATCTGATCTGATCTGAATAAAATAAGAATAAGCAATAAGTAATAAGAATAAGACGAACAGAACAGCACCTTAGCCGATTTCGGGGTACCAAATAGGCTCTATATAGTGTAATTACTTTTGTTTTATATATGGAGTATTTCCATGGTTATTAACTACACGCGTTGTATAACTTGAACTATTATAGGTGTGATACCATTTTGAATTGGACCATAAATATATTAATTTGTGTCAAAATTGGCGAATTTTTTTGATACTTTATCAAGAGCATGCCATTAAAAAATAAATTTGTGTGGAATGCTCCAACCATTTTTATCAATCACCAATTAATAGTCCAATTTAGTGATTTAATTGAGGGCTAATTTGACTTTGCACCACAATTTTTTGTGTAATATTAGACTTTGCCTCCCATTTCCAAAAAAAAATTGACTTTGCACCTATTTCACTTAAAAATCTTTTGACTTTGCATCCCATTCAGAAGTCTTTCTTCACAAAATGTTATATGATGCCGTGCAAAATCAAAATTTTTTTAAATTAGGTGCTAAGTCCAATATAATCCAAAAAATGAGGTGAAAGGTCATATCCCTCCTTTAATTGATATAGAATATAAAACAATTTGTTTTGATTGAAATTACATATTTATGCACCGATACAATACTAGTTACTTTGATATGGTAACATAGACAATATATACATCACCAAATTGAAAAATATAGGGAAAATTCCCGAAATAGGAGTAAAAAAGTTTGAAAATTTAAAAATAGGATTGTCATATTTTCATTCCAAAAGTATGAGTAATTACTATCAAGTTTGGAAAATACCGTCATGTTTAAAGTCTAGTACTGCCAAAATATAACAATAATTAGTCCTATTTGGGGAATAAAAACATGATAATCCTATTTTAGAGTATACAAACGTTTTTGAGTTTGCACCCCTTTTTTTGGGTGATATTGGACTTTGCACCCAATTTTCAAAGCTTTTAGACTTTGCACCCTATCTACAACATTTTGTGAAGAAAAAATCTTGAATGGGGTGCAAAGGCAAAGACATTTTAGGGAAAATATGGTGCAAAGTCTAAAAGTTTTGAAAATGAGGTGCACAGTCCAATATCATCCAAAATGCAGGATGCAAAGTCAAAATATCCCTTAGTCCTATTTAGGTAATTTCCCAAAATGTACTTTGTTGTCATTAGTGTAGGACAGATTGTCTGTCTCCGGAGTAATTTCAGCAAAATGTTTTATAAAAGAATAATTATATTGTAATTGTCGAATCTGATCTAGTACATCCTATCCAAGACCGTTAAATCTAGTCCTATGTGTTTAAGTCTGGTCTAGTTTGATCTGATATCAGTTTGAAATAATCCAAGTAAAGACATCCTAACTAATTAGCAACCAACAGTAACTTAAACGTGATTATCATAATATTGATCAATTATATAAATTTACGAAACGTTTTTTAAAGCAAGTAGATGGGCCTACACACACCTCACCTCTAATCTTAAATTATATTTTGTGATTAAATTCAATTTACATCCTTTTAATTAATGGGGTTTTTACTGGGATATTACTAATTTTGAACCAATTACCCAAAAAGTGATCATTTTTAAAAAGAGATAAAAAAGTGATCAAGAAGGTCATATATGTGCAATTAGAAAACATGATGTAACTGCAAAAATTTTATGTCACTGCGTGTTCGTTTTTTTTGTAACTACAGCTACCACCCATGTCACTACAACCACCGCCCGTGTCACTGTAACCACCGCCCGTGTCACTACAACCACTGCCCGTGTCACTGTAGCCACCGCTCGTGTCACTGTAGCCCCCGCCCGTGTCACTGCAGCAAAAATTTTATGTTAATATGTTCATTTTTTTGTAACTAAGAGTTGTCATCGTCAAATTTTTTCACGCCAATTACACCGCCACTGTCACCGCCACAGTGACATCTCCACCCCAGCTTTTGACCACCGTGACTTCTCCGTCGCCGATAACCACTGGCCACCTCTGGTCACCTCCACAAGCCATAGTTACACCACCGCAGTGATATCTCCGCAATTACAACTCTGTAGTGACACACAATTGCTCCGGCCAGTGTATTCCGACCACCACCACCATCCCATTCCCACTGCGTCTCTCCCACACGCCTACTTCCATTGCCCCTCCCATCAAAACACCCGAGCACCAGAAATTCCATCCCCAGCCCCTGCTTCCTCTAGCCATGACTCCCTGACCTGCCGCAGACCACCTCTTAAGCTTCAATTCCTACCAACTGGCCCAGATTCAATCCTCCCCAACCCATGCTCCGACCAACCCAACTCAAGCCAGCCAACCACGACTCCAACCAATTCAACCCAACTCCGCAGCCCCCCAATCAACCCAACCACGACTGAACCACCATTTCCACGCTTAAAACCCAATCTCTGCCGCAAATTCGTCTCACCAAGCCTCTGCCACTGTAGCTAAACTCCAGTCTAAAGGAATACGGCTCAAGAGCTCAACGATTTTATGCGGACCAAGCCGCAAATCCATCGCACCAAGCCGCCGCCACTGTAGACAAACAGAAATCGGCACAAGAGGGGTAGGACAACGACGACGAGCGCGGAGCATAGAAGTGGAAGCGGATGGCGGCCGCCAGAGGCATCAGTTTCCGGCTGTAAGGTCGATGATGGAAGAGTGATGGAGTATACCTCTGCGATCGATCATTCCCAGGGGAGTGTAGATCTGGATGCGGAAGACCGAAGAATAGATTTGGACGCGGAAGAAGCGTATATATGTGGTCACTTTTTTGTGAATTTTAAAAAAGGTCATATGTTTGCCTGTTAAAACGTTATAGGTTATATTTGGGCCATTCTTTCTTAATTAATTTCCCGATCAATGCCATGGGCCTCAGCGATGGGGCATCATTTTTTAAATTTAATTTTGCATACTAAGATGTTTTGTGCATCAAAATTTAATCGTAATCAATTATAATAGGTGTTACGGTTCAATAGGACTGATGAACCGAATAACGTGATTACTAAACAGGTTCTAAAAATTTAACATTAACTTGATTCGTTCTAGTTAATCTGAAAGTACCTTTTTATTTTGTGACGGATAGAATGTTGTTTAGTACTAAGTACGCTTACGATAATACTTCATCCATCTTATTGGATTTTGCTAATTTTTCTTTTTTGTTTGTTCGATAAAAAGTTTTATTTTCCATTGGGAGAAAGACCAAAAATAACACTAAGGTTTTTAGCGAATCTTGAATTAGACATCTAAAGTTTTTAGTAGATCAAATAAACACAAAATTATAGTAGTTTTTGGGTCCATTTTGACCACCCTTTAACGCTAACCCTTCCCCATCGTTAACTCCCCATCTGATTAAAGCTGGGAATAGTGGAGGTCAATCGCCCTGCCTAGAAGAATACCTCCGGGTCACCGCCTTGCCGTCAAAGCCGCCGTTGTGTCAAAGCCTACCCATTACCCATTGTAGGCTTCACCATCGCAGAATCGCAACATCACCGAAGTTAGCTACCGCCGTTTGATCTGGAGCATCTCCGCGGTAGCTAGGCCAGGGGTGGGCGACAATGCGGTTGTAGGCATCGACAATAGGTGATGGGACGACGTTGGGCTGGTGACGAGGGTTACGAGGCTGAGAGGGGGGGTGTGGCGAGGCTGGTTGACGTTAAAGGGTGGTCAAAATGGACACAAAAACTATAATTTTGTGTTTATTTGGTCTACTTTAAACTTTAGTGTCTAACTCGAGATTCGTTAAAAACATTAGTGTCATTTTTGGTCTTTCTCTCTTTTCCATTTAAAGCAATGAATGTGTGATTCTATTTATTTATCTTTTTTCCGTACAAATCTCAATCACACAATTTTTACTTTTTTTAATTTGACACCTAATATAGAATTGGTGAAATTGAGTGGGGACGGAAGTAATATATAACTTCACAACCTTCCGTCCACAAGAAATTTGACTTTTATTACTCCATTAACCCACTTGTAGAACCTTTATTAGCCGAGTAATTCACCAATTCACCCAGGTATTAAATAGTTGACTTTTTATACTACGTATGAAACAGTTACGAGTAATAAGTTCTGATCTCCTTTATTTGCTTCTCTAATACGGAGTAATTGTTTATTAAAAAAGATCGAATGAGAGCTGATCATTTTACCAATATCCTTTTAGCATAAGTAGTAGGTAGTAATATAGTACTTTAATTTCTCACAAATTTAATATATAGGTGTATTTGAGTATCATAATGCTTTTGTTCTAATTTGGATCGAATTTTTATGTGTAATTGTGTAAATATATTAAACACAATTTTTTGATGAGACATAAGTAGGTGTGCAAAAGGATAGTTGAAAAGAGGGATCAATGAAACATTTAATATAATGATAAAACATATTGTCAACTCAGATAATAAGAATAACAATAATATACTACTAATTCTCAAGTACATTCCCTTGATTAAATCCCTTCCATTAAGACAGTGAGATTTTCTAACCCCCATATCATTGGGTAATTTATGATAATATATAAATTAATGCTACTAAAATGAATGAAACTTCACAATGTCAAACTCTATATATACTCGCTCACTTCCTTGTTGACATTCATGCTAAAAAAGGTCAACTGTCCATATATTTCAACCAATATAATATCATATAGACAAAAGAGTTCTTTTTATTATTAAAATAATTAACCAGATATGGCAAAGAAACCTAGCCTGGGTCGCCAAAAGATCAAGATCGCAAAAATAGAGATCAAGAATCACCTTCAAGTCACCTTCTCAAAGCGGCGGTCCGGACTCTTCAAGAAAGCGAGCGAGCTTTGCATCTTATGCGGTGTCGAAGTCGCCATCATCGTCTTCTCGCCAGCCGGAAAAGTATTCTCGTTCGGGCACCCGCACGTGGAACCCATCATCGATCGGTTCCTCTCCCGCGGGGACCCGATGATCATAAACACCCCGGTGGGCCACCATCTTGTGGAGGCCCACCGGAACGCGAGCGTCCGCGAGATGAACGTGCAGCTCTCGCGGATGCTGGCGGAGGTGGAGGAAGAGAGGAAGAGAGGGGAGACGCTTGACGGAGTGCGAAAATCGAGGACGGAGAGGGAATTTTGGTGGGAAAGACCGATCGAGGAACTAGGGTTGGGTGAGCTGGATCAGCTTCGGAACTGCATGGATGAGCTTAGGAAAAATGTGGCTGTTCAGATGGAGAAGATCGTTGACGCGGTCAACGCTACTTCTACGCTTTTTGCTGGGAATGGGACTTCTGGATGGTTCGATCTTGCTGAGGTCAAACCGCGGGGGATAATGGCGGGTCTTAATGATAATCATCATCATCATCATCTTAATACCCATAACAATGATCATGATGTTAATTATCATCATCATCATGGACCGCTGCATAATAACTTTGCATTTGATAACGGGTTTTTCTAGCTTAAATTAGCTTTATAGATGATGAGATTCGAAGATAAATTAAAACGTGCTAGTACCTTACTAGCCAAATTACTTAGCTTATTCTCTTGGTTCAATGGAATCAATTTGTTATCTTCTTGTTTTGGGCGTTACCAATATATATACATTGCCAAGCTTTCAATTGAATAATTTAACAAACAATTCTATAAATATTACTCTTTAAAATGTGATGGACAAAAATATTATCCGTAACACTTGGTAACTATTAGTGACTATATTTATGTTCAGAATTTACATCGTAGTAACTAAATGTAAGTTACTGTGATGTAAACTTTGAACACAATTATAGTCACTAATCACTACTAGAATTTTTCTTATTTGCGGCTCCCTATTTGCTGCGGTTGCTAGAGAACCGCAGCAAATAATAGCAAATTTTCGAACTATTTGCTGCGGTTGTTAAAGAAACGCAGCAATTGACATTTTTGTTATATTATTAGCGGCGGTTAGCTTCGAACCGCATCAAATAAGTTGAAAAATTACTTCAGTTGCCGCTTAATCAGATCTGTAGCAATTTATTCGCTCCTCCCCCATTCAAACCATTGTCCAGCCAAAAGTCCTAAACCTAGCCCCCCTCCCAGTGGCTTGCAGGAGCCAAGATCTCTCAACGCCTCAGCAGCCGCACTCATCCCGCCGCCTCACGCCTTCATCTAGCACCGCTTTCTCCCAGCAACTCCGCCGCCCAGCAGCGCCAAACAACACCTCCCCTCACACCGCCACCGCCCCCTCTTAGCGACGTTGTTGTCTTTAATATTTCATTCGGTAAGTTATTTATGTGTATCTATTTGTAATGTGTATTTGTTGTATTTGTAGGTGGGGCTCGACCTCCACTGATGCGATTCATCGTCTTCAATCATCCTTGTCGGAACTTTGCTCTAAGAAACCGAACGCAACGCCTTAGTCTGTGCATATGGCACACAAAGGAAATCCGATTTCAGCCCATGGTTGTGTAAATCCAAATTAATACTCACTCTCAACTATGTTTTTGATGTATGCATATTACATTTATCTATTTATCTATTTAGTTATATGCTAAGTTTACTTATCTCTTTAAAGTTTATACATAATTTTGACTATTAGAAATTATTTCAATCAGTTACAAAAGGATAGCAATTATACATTTCATTCCCATCTTTCTCCTATTCCTTTAGATTTAGATATATGCATATTATGTTTATCTATTTAGGTATATGCTAAGTTTACTTGTCTCTTTAATGCCTAAACATAATTTTGATTATTAGAAATTATTTCAATGTTTTACAGAAAGATAGCACAATTGTACATTTCATTTCCATCTTTCTGCTATTCCTTAATAATTTATCCTTGACATATGATGTGATGCTTATTCATCCATTCTTTAATTGCAGGGGTGCTGATAACTATAAGTGATCTTATTGAGAATTTGGGTGACCTCTTGAAAATAAAGCTTGGTCAGTAAATTGATAATCACAATGCCTTTATAACTTATAAGAGACAACAAGGATCCTGTTAATGAGGTAGATTTGTTGGTTTTTGTTATTTTTCCATAATAAGCATCAATAACAGGATTGTTAAGTATATTCTATACTATGATATGATACTTCTCATTCCACTGATTTCTATTAACTTGTCTAAGCCGAAGCATTTTACACTTTTTTTATATCTAAGATAAATGAAACAATTTGTAAGACCCTGGAGTATTTTTGTTTTTTGCATAAATATGCAAAATATGTTGCTCTGAAGTGGAATTTTTGATTGGTTGTGACAGGTGTTGCTTGTAACATGATTACCATTCTTAATGGGTCAGGTAATTTTATTCAAACTTGTGGTATCTTGTTGTCTCTGATTTCATTGTGCGATAGAAACAACAGTGAAGAATGATAACGGAAAGCCTGCAACTTTCATATTATATAGAGTAAACATATAGGAAAACATAATGCTAAAGATTAATAATAAGCAACACTAATCTGGAACTATAAAAAAGATAATACTTACTATTAGTCTTCTAATAATAATACTAATGATTAGAGAAATACATGTTCAGATTTTTAAGTTAAGCAAACACTGCAAATTCTAATGTTGTGGAGTATGACGGGGTTCAGTTTCATGGGGTGGAGGTGTTGACTGTGAAGCTGGATGATGGAAGGAGAGTGAAATCCAAAAGAGATGAGAGAATGAGATGGGTGGATGGAAAAGACAACGGAGAAGAGTACAAGGAAGGTTTTTAGGACAAACTTGAGGAGAGTTTTAGAACGTATCATGATAACTGGCAAGCAATTGTAAAAGCCTGTGAGAGAATAAACAAGGTATGCTATGTTTTATTTATATTAAAGAATTTGTTTGCTAGCCAAATGACCCACCACCCTGGAAAAAAACTTAGAATGTATTGAAAACTACAAGTAGTATCAAAACTATTAAAAAGTAACAATAGAACTCAGTTTTGTCCCTATCTATTCTTACTTCTAATTAGTTTAAAGTAGTGCTTTATATGAAACTATGTGCATAGTGCATTTTAGTATGCTATGTTGGTAACGGAAGGAAAGAACTGATCCTTGGTCGCTTAATTTTTTGTAGTTAGCAGAAAAATTATTGCTTCTCATTCAAACTCCTATGATGTGGACACTTTCCATAATTTTTCTCTTTGTAAAGCTCTGGTTTGAAAACTACAACTCTATGATCGGCCAATGCTAAAGAGTAAGATTAAGACAACATCTTATGTCACAAATTTCTTTCTCTATCTTTCTTTCTTTCTTTCTTTCTTTCTTTCTTTCTTTCTTTCTTTCTTTCTTTCTTTCTTTCTTTCTTTCTTTCTTTCTTTCTTTCTTTCTTTCTTTCTTTCTTTCTTTCTTTCTTTCTTTCTTTTACTTGAGTTATTTCCTCCTTCTCTAAGTCTATTCCTTTGAGCTGCTTCTTAACCGAAAGCTCTCATTGTAATGGAGGCCTGGAATCTAATAAGACTAGCTACACGGACACTTGAAGAAAGAGTAAAGCAAATATGCTTCTGAGTTCTACTCTTAAGCATCAATAACCTGGTTTAGGTATAGTTACACGATTACACCCATTCCATCATGATATGTTCCATTATTTGGAACCACTAATAAAAAAGGTTGAAGCAAGTACTGGTTGGTGGTGATTGGATTACACCCATTCCATTTATGCTTCTTCCAAAATATTTACCTTTTCTAAAGAGATAATATAATATTATTTGTCACGCCCCGGACCGCGTCCGTGCCACGTAGACAACCGCCGTACAACCCAATAAGAACAACGTAGTTCAATCTTATTAGATCATACAAGGCGTCCGATAGATTCTATTGCCAAACCGATTAGTAAACTCATACAATCAACATCAATATAACTCAAACAAATGCGGAAGTAAAATATGTTTGAAGTTTAGCCACACGTGGCAAACATAGGCACGCAGGCCCCCAAATAGTTTAATAGAAAACATTGTATAAATATCCATGAGCAGTTACATTGTTTCAAGTAAGAGTGGAAGCACGAACCACGTCTTCCTTATTCGATGATCACCCTGGGCAAAGGTGCAGGAGTAGGACTCTAGCCTCAACCTGAAAAATGTGAGGGCCCCCGAAGGGGTCAGTACTCCATAGAAGTACTAGTGACAAGCAGGCTAGATGAAGAGTAACTAATATTTCAAACACAAGACCCAAAAATAGGATGATACATATATTTATAGGCATAACCGTAGTTACCCCATTCCCAAGATAATACATACTGTATATACTTGTAAAATACTTGACCCGTAGGTCCTTTTCTTTGAAAGAGTCTTTTTAGAGATAAGGTACTCACCCGACCTTTCCCATCTATTCCCGAATGCCTAGCTCAATAGCTACATTCTATCTTACTAATATCCTACCGAGTTTCAGGATCATTTACTGTCCCGAGGATACTCAACCTCAACCGAGTTTCAGGATCACGCCCGTCCCGAGGATACTCAACCTCAACCGAGTTTTTAGGATCACGCCCGTCCCGAGGATACTCAACCTCAACCGAGTTTTTAGGATCACGCCCGTCCCGAGGATACTCAACCTCAACCGAGTTTTAGGATCACGCCCGTCCCGAGGATACTCAACCTCAACCGAGTTTTAGGATCGATTACGTCCCGAGGATACTCAACCTCAGTCTAATTCCTCACCAAACCCTAACCTGGATATGGCTAAACTTTCTTTCACTTAACTATGGACAATACCTAGTCCTATAGTTGTATAATAATCACTAGTAACCAACGTGGGCGGGTCCCACTTGAACGGCCCACGTTAACCTGCTCAAAACTGCCCGTTTTGGCATAATATCAATACCCTATCGGGTACCCACCCATACTCGGTCGAGTATGGGAGCCAGTAGCTCCAAATATACACTCCCAGCCCATACTCGGTCGAGTATACACCCATACTCGATCGAGTATGGGAGGCAGAAACTCCAGAATAGCACTTTCTGGCCATACTCGGTCGAGTATATACCAATACTCGGTCGAGTATGGGAGTTGACTTGGCGTTCAACGCCCGTTTGGCCGTCCAAACGAAGTCCGATTAACGTGAAATTTGACATGCGTGTACCTCTAGACTTCCTTAACCCAAAAATACCATTTTGAGTCCTTGGAACATCATGTACACTAATTTATAATATTTTCATTAGTCAAACTTGTTTAACATGCTTTCCACTATGTTATGTTCTTCTATAAGTCATAACACATGCTTTAATACCATTAATCAATTCATACAACATATTATTGATTAATTTAGGTAATCTTATGCCTAACGCAAAAGTTACAAAGCATATAGCCGTCTTCTCACCTTAATGAAGCCTTGAAGTCTTAGCCTTCCTTATTGAGCTCCGACGAAACTCCGGCGAACTTCAACTGACTCCGGCGACCACTCCGGCGACTCTTTCAACTCCGTGAAAGTTCTTGAAATACCTTATACAAGTTAACAACAAGGTT